GGTCCCTCCTGCCTGTTTGCCTGCCTCTTGCCCCGCTTTATTGTGTTACCTACGTGAAATCGTCTAAATTTTCGCAAAACCCTCGCATTTTGAGTGCGTGCGCGCGCTGTGGCGAGGGGCTGGGGCGAAACCGTGTGTATGTGTGTTACAGGGCGAACGTGACAGTTACCGACCTTGAGGAGCTGCAGGAGCTGTTGATGGTTAATATAGAGAACAACAAACATCTGGTCACAGGGTCAGTCCGAGCCAAGGTACTGAAATGGTTTGTATGATCCTTTTAACGTTTCTGTTCAGCTTTAACAGGGCACCTGCTCTCGCTTTGTTAAATTACCAAATATACTTGGAAACACTGCTGTAAAAGGGGAGCTAGGTATAAGAATGTAGTAAACTTCATGTTGAGTCCTGTAGTAGTTTATGTTGCATCATTTCTGAAGCTTGTTTTCACCTTTTTATTTTCTTTCTACTTTTTAGGGGTGAAGATGTAACAGAATTTCAGCCTCCTCCTGATTATATACTAATGGCTGATTGCATTTACTATGAGGAGGTAAATGAGGACTTTGCAAAACCCCTGTAGAAAACTTCCTTGTGAAGGGCATGGGTTCAGTCTGAGAAGTGTTCAAATCACTATTGTGCTTGCTTCTTGATCCCCATGGTTAGAAGAATACATAGAACAAGTTTAGAAAAGGCATTTTTAAGAGATTCAAAGTCATTGGAAATTCAACCGGAGACTTTGCTTAACAAAAAAAAAAAAGAAAATAAACAGTATTTGTGCCTTCCCCTTTTTTTAACACTGGGAATGAAGTGTGAAGGAAAACATTGTGACTGATAGTTGTGAGCTGTTTAAAGTATTGGTAAATGAAGTTAAAAAGTGCTGCATATGCACTGTTTGGGTTTTCTTCATGCTTCCCTTGGGAAGGCAAAAGGAGAAATCATGCTCCAGCTAAGCAGTTGTTGTAGTCTGCTGGAGCAATATAGAATGTGCATAGAAACCTAACAGAAGTTGCAAGAAAAGGGAAAAGATCTGAAGACCCCCATGTCCCAGTGCCCTTTCAGTGGTGTTACTACTGCCTCCCTGCACGTTGGTCCCATTTCTGTAACATAGTGGTCTGGATCTGAGCCATGTTTCAAGAACAGTTGAGAAAACTTCCACTATGGAAATATGTCAAGAAATAGTCATTGTTGTGTGCTTTGAGGAAATACCCACTCAGCGGTGTGGGATGGTTTTGGCTTTCATGCTTGTTCAGTTCTCTTGATCAGTCTGTGAAACTCCTTCTATGCAGTCACCCTTTCTTCTCTGCTTTCCAGCTTGCTCCCATGTTCTTTTTGTCCCAGTTAAAGTACTAAAAATAACTCTCTGAAAAGCAAAACTGGAAAGTTCTCTCTTGGGTGAACACTTTCTCTAGTTAGAGACAGTAAAATGGACTTGAAATCTAAGTGTGAAATACTTAACCTCTTTTGGGCAGTCATTAGAACCATTACTGAAGACACTGAAAGACCTTACTGGCCCTGATACGTGCGTCTTGTGCTGTTACGAACAGAGGACTATGGGAAAGAATCCTGAAATTGAGAGAAAATACTTTGAGGTAAGTGTTTTTAACATGAGCTTTTTGAACACTAGGGAGATAGCTTGGACACAGGAGGTCTTTATATCGGATAAGCTGAACATCAGTGACAGTTCCTACATGTACAGATTCAAGTTGACTGCACAAAGTAGAGTTTCTAGTAGGAGAGGCATGTTTGTCTTGAGATGGGGTAGGAAATTCGGATGGTGACTCTGGAAGTTATTGTCCAACTTACCAGTAGAAACTTTCTAGATACTTGCTGAGCTTACTAGAAGTTATTGGGACCATTAAAAATTAGTCTGGTGAAAATTTATTTTCTTTTGGCATGTTCCATTGAAAGCAGAGTTAATAATACAGGTCAGGTGTTCTAGAGTCACTCGGGACTCTGCTAAGCAGTATAGCTGTTCTGGAAAAGATTGCCTTCCTTTCCTGAGAGAGCATTAATAGGTGATATAATTAAATGGTCCAGCTGTATCTCCTGTGCAGGTAGGTTAACAGCTGAATCCCTCCTAAGGTTGTGGGGATGATGGTCAGTGCAGGATTTAACTCTGCACACTGCACCTGTGAAGTGTACGGAAAAGCAGCCCTTGTGCAGGAGTACTGGATTATACGTAGTAATAATACTACTATAAAACAGGGGAAGGGCAAGGATTCCAGGGTGATTTGCATGTGTTAGTAACAGCACCTCTTTGATAATCAGCCATGCCTCAAACTCGTGGGGACCTGACTGCGAGGAAAATTGCTGTAATTGAGATCAGCTCTGAGGAGGTGCCGCTCCCACAATAAACACAATAGGTGTAGGTGTTTCTGGATGATGGCTGCTTTCTTGTAATTTATCTCATTCCTTAGCTCGCCAGGGTTCAGCCAAGTTAATCTGAGCACACTGCAGAGTTGACACTTGGGTTTTTTAGCCTTTTTTTCCCTCCCTCTCCTCCAGTTGAGGTTGTTGGCAGAGGCAGGTGCTGTGGTTTGGCTTAGCACTTTGGAGACTGGAGGAAGCAAAACGTTTTATCATGAGCTTTTAGATTTTTCTTCTATGTTGCAGGGTGCCTGCAGCTTTGAGTTGGTGCTGGACTAGTTAAACAAGAGTAAATATGCTGCACGGTGGGAAAATGGCTTGCATGTTTGTGGAGGCCTTCAGTGGAATGGTCTAAGCATAGTGGTTCCAGCCTCTGAAGGCTTCTTGCTATCGTGCTGGTGTATTGGACCTCTTTAACTGAACGTGCTTAGTTCAAAAGGGCAGTCAGTATCATCTGAATTGTTTTGTGTGTTCTCTGATAACCAGCTGCTTCAGTTGGACTTTGAGCTGGAAAGAATTCCCCTGGATAAGCACGACGAGGAGTATCGCAGCGAAGACATTCAAATCGTGAATATCCACAGGAAGCAAACCGTAAGTTTACTTAACTGGCACAGCGAATGCTGCCAGGAATCTGCAGAGCTGCTGTTTACTTGGCGTGGTGTGAGCGTTCCAGGGGTGAAGCTCTAAACTGACTGTGAAATACCATTAGGGACCCTGTGAAACTGCAGACCAGAACTGTGCTGGGACAAAGGGGTTCTTTTGTTCTGAAACCCAGCATTCTGCCAGGTGCCAGCCTCTGTCTTCAGCAAGACCATCTTTGAGCTGCATGCTGACTTTCTCTTCTGCTTCCACTCTGTAGTGAGGTGGGATATCAAAACTGGAGTTTGGAGGCACCAAAGTAATAAGAATAATATGCCCACTGCTGCTTTTAGTGCAGTGCACCCTGCTGTAGAGCGTCTACCCAAAACCAGTCTCTAGAGGTGGTACTTGGCACCTGTCAGAGTTGGTTAGATCGGTTTTTGGTTAATTGATGAAGCAGTTATGCATGAAGAAAATACTTCATATGTTCTGCTGACACAACATGTGAGTCCAGTGCTTAAGCAAAAATGGGATGCTTAAAAATCCATCTTTCTTTTTTAACATCTCTTCATAGAATATTCCATCATGAGATCTTTGACCACAGTATCTGTCCTCTGGCAGCTGGTAGAGCTCTGGAGAAGAGGGTATAGAATAACACCACAAAGAGACTTGTCTCCAGTGTGGTTTGTGACTCATCTACTAAAAACGGCTTCTTGATGGTGGACTTGGCGTGAGACACCAGAAGAAGTGGGCTTATTAGACTAGACCCACTGATAGTGCCTTCCAAGAGGGCAGATGTGAGCTGCTCATGTCTGCAGGCTAAGGAAGGCGGAAACAGAACCAGGGCTTCACCCAGAGCGGCGCTGGGCATGTATTCTGGTTACCTCTGCTTGTTGGAGCAGCGGGTGGCTTACCAGGTGCTCACAGAGCGGATTCAAGGACACTGCACCGAAGTCTCTGCAAGGAGAAAACACTTGAGCAGGCTCAGTCACACAGCTGGTCAATAAACCTTTTGCACTTGAGATGGGTCGGATGGTGGTTTCTGTGGTGGTCTGGCATTGCAGATGTCCTGGGAGTCTTGCTGGGGCTGTCATGGTGGACACTGCACAGATACACCATGCAGATGGTCCCTGTGCAAAATTGCTGTGCCTTTTGATTTCATGCGTGCTTTTCTGGTATAAGAATCTGCAGCATTAGAAGTCTGACACCTTCAAATGATTCTGGTCTGCAGGTTTGTTGTTGCTGCTGCTATTCCTCACCCAGCTGCCTCCTGTTCAGTGATGGCTTTGAGATTTAATTTCAAAAGAAATCTCACTTCTGCTGTGTAGTGGAAGCGGCTGTGGCTGCTGGCGCCATCCCACAGCGCTGGGAAAGCAGGTCTGCTGTGACAAAGGTGCTGCTCAAAGTAGATTGTAAACGGCCTGTTACAGTTCCTCCTTGTCGCTGTGCACAGCATGAGTGGTCCCTACTGCAGAGACCTGAGTGTTGAAGCTAAATCTGCTGGGGTTTCTCAAAACCTCAGCTGTTGGTTCGAGGGGAGCTCTGTTTGCAGGCACGCTGGTGCTTTCCGGGCTTGCCCTGAGCTTGGGCTCCTGTTACCTCCAGTTCCTTGCAAAGTTCACACTTCATAAAACACTGTCCCGGCTTGCAAAGCACAGCAGTGATGATTAGTGAATGCATGGCAAAGCAAGAGTGTAATTTGTTGTAACCGCACACGTTATTTGTTAACTTGTTATGAAAAGAGCTCCTTAATTAACCAGTGGCCTGCAGGAAGATATTTACTGGTGTGTTTACGCCAGCATGGCTTCTCCAGTGGAAACTAGTTCCAAAGAGTTGTCCAGAGATGCACTGTAAGGATAGTGTGAGAACTGTGCTGTTTTCTGGTGGCGTTTCCCTGCAGGGCAGCCTCTTTGCTGACCACAGACCCCCGGGAGGGGAGAGTAGAGCTGCTTGGCTTGGAGCTGGGCTGGAATCCTAGTGGTGGTGGGGATGATGTGCCAGAGCCTCAAGGGGATGACATCCTGCCAGGCAGCATGATGCCCTCCTTGGGGCCTGGTGTGAGCAGGGGGAACAACATTACCCGTGGGTTTGGCGCTGGCGGAAAAATTGAGTTTTACATGTGAGTGTGCAATTTCAGCACTTCCTTTTCAGAAGAAAAAAGGGAGGAAGTTGTGCTTTTCTCTTCCCCACACACAGCTGCTGGCAGCTTCTCTGTGTCCTCAGCTTCATGCCTGTAGTGCTCAAGTTGTGAACGTTGTGGAGCAAGAGGCACCTTGGGGGGAGGGCTGGGTCCCATCACCCCCTACGCCATCTCCTTGTCACTGCCTGCACCCGCTGCAAGGCGGGATGTAAAACCCAACCGCTGCTGCTGTGTCCGTGGAGAGGAAACCACTACTAACGAGGGGAGGGGGGGTCAGGTGGCTGCTGCCACTCTGCATCTTGTCCCTGCAGCCAATAGATGAATCGGCTGCTTTTTTTGGAGGGAAAAAAGGGCTTTTGGAAAGAGAGTTGGGATCCTCCCTCCTGCACCTCCACAGGGGGTGGGGCGTGCCTGTAGGGCCAGTGGCTGCCATGGCAGGGTAGTCACTGCTCTTAACCAGGAGCAAGCTCATCATGGAGAACAAGATGCAAGGGAGGCTCTGGTCCTGCTTCTTGCTACCTCACAAGTCCTCTTTGTTTATGTTGGCTTTTTGTCCTGTCCCTGTCCCCTTGGGGAGAGCATATGTTGGCATTGCTCCCATAAACACAGGGCCTCTTTGGTGAGGTTTGGCTGTGGTACCTGGCAATGCTCATGTGTGGCTTTGCCATTTGCCAGTGTTGGGCTCTGCCCTTGGGGAACAACAGAGAACAACTAACTCCTGTCCATGCCAGCCCAAATTTGCCCCAGCTCTCTACGTAGGAGAGCTCATGTCTCCCCTGGCTCTAACAGGCGTGCAGCCACCTCCAAGCTGGCTGCTGCAGGAGCCAGCAGTAACGAAGCTGCGGTGTCTGAGCTGTGCACCCATCATCTGCATAACCTTGCCACAATTTGATTACACAAGAGAGACCAGTAACCTACTGGTGCTGCAGCTCTGGGAGCCAATTTGGTGCCACTGGTTACAGACAGAGACATTTCGGCAATCAGGGCATTTGCCAAATATCACAAATAATGGATCATCTTCTGGAATAATTTCAACACCAGCTGGAACGATGGCTAGCATGCTATGTGGGGTGTGCAAGTCATGGGTGATTTCCACAGGAGAGCTGTGATGCTTGTGTATGGGGCTGCATCGCCTGCCACAGGGGTCAGACCGCAGCCTTGGCGAGTGGCTCATTCCTGCCTGGTCCCTCTCACGGCACCCATATCTCAGCGATGCCGATGGCAGTGCCATTGTCCTGTGGTCCCACTGGGGCTTTGTGGGCACCTTACTCTTTGCTATAATAGCTGGCATAGCTTTTCACTTCCATTTAGATCAACAGCGAGGGTACCTGGATGCGGTCAGGGATTGAGCATGGTGTTTAATGCTGGCTCAGCACCAGCCGCATAAATTGCTGATGGCTTCTTGTCACAGTATTAGTCATGACACAGCTCAGAAACCTGCAGGACCTCAGGAGTTTCACCCTTGACACTCTCTGATTATTTCATTCTTTCCCAGGAAAAGCATGGGGGACAGGCAGCTGCTGCAGAGTCTGCCAGTGTCTGGATCTGGCCATCCACAAGTGATTCCTGTGTGTCCCCCGGCACTGCTGCAGAGCCCGTTGGGACTGTGTCAGGCCAGGGCCTGTGTCCATGCATCCCATGGGGCTGGTGGCTTCACTTGGGAAAGTCTCTCCTCTGCAGCTGTATGATCATTTTCTGTGGCATGTAATCCTGGACAAATGGATTTTCCTCTTACAAAATTATACTTGTTGCCTGCAGCGTTAGGTGATAGTGTTAGAAAAGGCTTTCTGTTACAGCAGATCTGCTCTTGCTTCCAGTGACTGCAGCAGGTCTCGGTAAATGGGCAAATGGCCTAGTTAAAGCTGTGTCTGTGGTTCGTTTAGAGGGAGCAGATGCCCCTGAGCCTCTGCTGAGGAGCTGCTGCGAACAACACAGCAATGCCATAACTTGCCCGCTTGGCAGTGGGAGATTGCATGTGGGGACTTCCATCCCCACCTGCACCTCTGGGTCCCCAAGAGGTGAATGTGCCCAGCTGAAGGAGGGAGATGAACAGAGGATCCCAGTTTGCAGATGCACTGCCTGGGAAAAGGCGAACAAACCAAACAAATGAAAAACAACCAAACTTAGCAATTTGGTCTATTTTCTGCTAAAGAGCTGGGCAAGGCTGCCTGGGGACTGTGGCAGGCACAGAACCAGTGGGTAACTGTGATGCCGGCAGGGAGGAGGCAGCTGGAAACTGCCAGCCTCATTAGCAGCGTTTCAATCCCCAGGTGCTTTGCCAACCTGAGCCACGGGTGCTCTTCAGTGATGCCAGTGTGGCTCCTTGACCAGGCACACGCTGCAGGCACAATCCCACGGGGGCAGGGGAGGATTCCACTGACACTGTGCGCCTTTGTGGCTGATGGCATGTGGGATGCAGGGAGCGGGATTGCAGCCTTTGCCTCTCCCCACCTCCTGAAAAGGTGTTGGTTCATTCTGCTGAGGACTTGCTGCAAGTGCAGTGCCTGGTCCCGCCAGGGGCGGGGAAGCTGTGGTCCAGCAGTTACCTCCTCTCACATCCTGAAATGAAAAAAGAAAGTTCATTTTCTGCTGCTGAGCAACCAGTGAGGTTTTTTCAAGAGAGGCCAGCGAGTACCTGTTCCGATGTTGGTGCACAGCGGTGGTTTTCACCCATGAGCCTGAGTGTTTGGGTGCTGCCAGCCCTGAGGAGTGACCCAGGACCTCAGTAGGGTGATGGTGCAGCTGGTCCATGCTGGCAGGCAAGTTCAGTAGCCTCTTTTTAGGATCTTCTCCTCCCAGCCACTGTCCTATGGGAAGGAAGATGCCAGTGACCAGAGAAAGGGTGGCTGTAAATCTGGC